CCGTCCACCGCAGAGCAGGTGTGGTCTCCGGCATGGAGACACAGGGCTGGAGGTTGAGCTGATGCGCAGCGTACTGGACCGCGAACAGCCATAGAAAATGGGGAGCAGCCGCATGGATCATGGACGTACGAGCGACGTCCATGACCATGCTAATGCGGCGCTCAGCAATCCCATTTTGCTGTGGGGAGGCCGGAAGTGTGAACGTCTGGCGGATGCCCTCAGACGACAGAAGGCCCGCAGAAGGTCGGAGGAAAACTCACCACCTCTGTCGCAGTGCAGACGCAGAACAGGAAGGTCCGAGCCGAAACTCTCGCTGAGCTGGCGACGGGCAGCGCGGATCCAGGTGATCAACACCTCAGTGACCTCACCCTTGCGGCGCAAGGGGAAGACTGTGGTGTAACGCGAGTAGTCGTCAACGACCAGCAGAAAGTAACGCTCGTGACCCTGTCCACGGACGCGGGCTGGGCCCCACACGTCCATGTGGAGAGTCTGCAGGGGAGCCTCCGTCGGAGGGAACTCGAAGGAGTGAGGAGCGGCGCGCTGCCGTCCCTCAACGCAAGGAACGCAGGTAGGGGCAGGCCCTGGTGGGAGGAGAGGGAGAGACCGGGGGAGACCAGAGACAAGGGTACGGGAGGCCATACCTCGGAGACGAGGCAGGGAGGGGTGACCAAGGCGGTGGTGCCAAAGGAGAGTCTGGTGTGACAGGAGACGACACGAGCAGGGGGCAGACTCCGGACCAGACGTGGACGCGGCAGCAATCACCTGACCAGACGCGGCTACCTGACCAGACTCAGCAACCGGAGGAGACTCAGTAGTCAGTGTGTACAGGCTCGACCCAGGCCGACGGGTGAACGTGGCCAGGTGGAGGCCCGTCCGAGTACACGTACAGTGGGTCACACGCTGACCTCCAGGAGTGAACTGGTCAACCCACACGTCCTGGAGGTCAGCTCCACTCACCAAGTTCGTAGAGAACGAGGGGAGGTGAAGACCCGACAGTGAGCCAGACGGGGCCGCCGGACACGGCAGAACCGTGGAGGAGTGCGCAAGGACTGGGCCCCCAGAGGGGTCCACCAGGGAGACTGCAACCGGTCGACTGAGCGGCGTGAGTGTGGTGCTGTCACGAAAGAAGGAGCGGGAAGCACCTGAGTCAAGCGTGAAGGTGTGCAAGGCTTCAGCAGGCGCAGTACCAGAGAGAGCAGACTCACTAGCACTTGGAGCAGCAGACTCACTAGCACCTAGAGCAGCAGCCTCAATGCCCGGGTCGGGCGGAACACACAGGTAACAGTCACCCTCAGCACTAATAGTCACAGCATACATGGCAGCAAGGATAGCATCGAAATCAAGATCAAAGATAGCAACACCAGACTTAAGCAGATCAGCCCAGCGAGGGAGCTCAATGGCGTCAGGAAACTGTGCGCGCCACGCGTCAGTCAGGCGACCGAAACAGAGTTGCGTCGTGTGTGGCAGCCCGCACGTCTCCCCACGGCGCTCGCCGGTGCGGAGAACGTAAGTGCAGGGACCAGCACCCCCAGACCTCCCACGCCCAGCGTACCACTCACGAAGCTGTTGGGGCGACGGGGCCTCACGGGAACGCGGCTACTGCTGTCGCTTGCTACCGCCAAAGCCTCCACGCTGCGCGGCTCCACCCCTACCAGCACCACCTCCGCCGCCACCCCCACTGCCGCTGCCGCTGCCTCCACCACCTCCACCGCCGCCACCAACGCCCCCACTCCCGCCACCACCCCCACCTCCACCCCCACCCCCTCCGCCTCCTCCACCGCCACCACCGCCGCCCCCACCGTCCCCTCCACCACCCTTGCCCCCCTTGCCCTTGCTGCTGCAGCGCCTCCCACGAGGAGCAGACGCAGCCCCGACCTCCTCGGTGCCAACGAGGTTGACAGCAGCAGCAGAAACAACAGAGGGCAAAAGGGGAACGGGGGAACACCCCTCAAAGAAAGGGGCGCGAGGGTCGCCGCGAGAATCTCCTACAGTGACTATGCTAGTCTCAGCTGCAGTGATGCGCTCCTCGAGCAGGTCGACGGTGAGCTCGGTGGGGCAAAGGGAGAGAAAGTGGTCCCTGACTGAGCGAAGAGAGTCAGGGAGACGGGTGACGAGGTAGAAGAGGGTGAAATACATGGGGGGGGGGTTCTTGGCGCGAAACTCGGAGGGAAGCGCAGCGCGGTAGCGGGTGTCACTAGTGCAGAGGTGAGTGATGAGGTCAGCGACTGTTGCAAAGGCGGCCAGGTCAGGGAACAAGTACGGCAGCATGAGGCGGCTGAGGGCAGCAGTGGCAGGGGAGGAGTAGCGCGCGACGGCAGCGTCATACAAAGACTTAGCAGTCTTGTACTGGCCAAAGTGCGCGCGCTCAGCAGACGGCAGGTGACTACGAACAGCAAGGCGAGCAACAGCGTCACGAGTAGTCCACTGCGAGCGAACCGTACTGTCAGCAGTGGCAGCAGGTGCAACAGAGGCGTCGGACGTGTGATCGAAAAGCGAAATTCCGTCCCTAGAGTCGCACTGAAGATAGAGCTGCAGGTCATCTACCCAAACGTCGAAATCGACCGCACGACCCTCAGCATGGAAGGTAAGAACAGTAGGGCAAGCCATGGCGGCAGTAGCAGCAGTAGTAGCAGTAGCAGCAGGAGGAGCGCGGGGAGGGCAGCGCAGCGCAGTAGGGCAGGGCGGCGCGGTCCAGCAGGCAGGCGGGCGCGGCGGCTCACTCGCTTACCAGGGGCGGGTGCAGGGCAGGGCCGCGACGGGCGGTTAGGTCAGGGCCGCAACGAAGCGGCTGTAGGGCAGGGCCGCTACGAGGCAGCGGCAGCGCAGGGCCGCGACGGGGCGGCAGTAGGGCAGGGCCGCAACAAGGCGGCTGCAGGGCAGGGCCGCGACGGGGCGGCGGTAGAGCAGGGCCGCGACGAGCAGCTGAGGGCAGGGTTTAGGGCCGGGTGGCGGCAGGGCAGGGCCGCGACGGGCGGCGAGGTCAGGGCCACAACGGGGGGCGGCAGGGCAGGGCCGCGACTGGCGGCTAGGTCAGGCCGCGATGGGCTGCTAGGTCAGGCCGCGACGGGCGGCGACAGGGCAGGGCCGCGACGGGCGGCTAGGTCAGGGCCGCGACGGGCCGTTAGGGCAGGGCCGCGACGGGCCGGGAGGGCAGGGCCGCTACGGCAGGCAGTAAGGCAGGGCGCGCGACGGCGCAGGTGAGGCAGGCTCGAGGCGCGCTTCGGGCAGGGCAGGAAAAAATATCGTGGTGGGCCCTAAAAAAAAACGTTCCCACTAGGGAACTTGCTCTGAAACCATGTCAGAAAGTAGGAAATGAATGATTAGAATGACAGCAGTACAGGGTTTGTATAGCAAAACCTAATTGGGCTGTACCCCATAAGGAGTGCCCCACTACAGCCTAGAGCATATAAATGCATAGTTCTGACACCAATGACCCGAATATTGTTGCATATTCGGGTGGCCCATGTTCAAATACACCTTCCAGAGCAAATTCAAATTGGTTCGCGCGCACAAAAAAGTTCAGGCGCCCGCGATGACGGCCGTGCCTGCCCACAAATGCTAAGGAAGCGCATGGATCCCTTTAAGGATAGGGAAAAGCATCGAACGACCCGAATATTGTTGCATATTTGGGTGGCCCATATTCAAATACACCTTCCAGAGCAACTTCAGATTGGTTCGCGCGCACAGAAAAGTTCAGCGCCAGCGATGACGGCCGTGCCTGCCGACAAATGCTAAGGAAGCGCATGGATCCCTATAGGCGTAGGGAAAAGCATCAAACGACCCGAATATTGTTGCATATTCGGGTGGCCCATGTTCAAATACACCTACCAGAGCAACTTCAAATTGGTTCGCACGCACACAAAAGTTCGGCGCCAGCGATGACGGCCGTGCCTGCCGACAAATGCTAAGGAAGCGCATGGATCCCTATAGGCGTAGGGAAAAGCATCAAACGACCCGAATATTGTTGCATATTCGGGTGGCCCATGTTCAAATACACCTACCAGAGCAACTTCAGATTGGTTCGCACGCACACAAAAGTTCGGCGCCAGCGATGACGGCCGTGCCTGCCCACAAATGCTAAAGAAGCGCATTGATCCCTATAAGCGTAGGGAAAAGCATCCAACAACCCAAATTTTGTTGCATATTCGGGTGGCCCATATTCAAATACACCTTCTAGAGCAACTTCAGCTTGGTTCGCGCGCACAGAAAAGTTCGGCGCCAGCGATGACTGCCGTGCCTGCCCACAAATGCTAAGGAAGCGTATTGATCCCCATAAGGGTAGGGAAAAGCATCCAACGACCCGAATATTGTTGCATATTCGGGTGGCACATGTTCAAATACACCTTCCATAGCAACTTCAGCTTGGTACGCGCGCTCAGAAACGTTCGGCGCCAGCGATGAAGGCCGTGCCTGCCCACAAATGCTAAGGAAGCGCATTGATCCCTATAAGCATAGGGAAAAGCATCCAACGACCCGAATATTGTTGCATATTCAGGTGGTCCATGTTCAAATACACCTTCCAGAGCAACTTCAGCTTGGTTCGCACGCATAGAAAAGTTCAGCGCCCGCGATGACGGCCGTGCCTGCCCACAAATGCTAAGGAAGCGCATTGATCCCTATAAGCGTAGGGAAAAGCATCGAACGACCCGAATATTATTGCATATTTGGGTGGCCCATGTTCAAATACACCTTCCATAGCAACTTCAAATATGTTCGCGCGCATAGAGAAGTTCGGCGCACGCGATGACGGCCGTGCCTGCACACAAATGCTAAGGAAGCACATGGACACCTATAAGCGTAAAGACAAGCATCCAACGACCCGAATTTCGTTGCAGATTCGGGTGGCTCATGTCAAATACGACTTCAGAGCTACTCTCATCACCCTTCTCCCTACTCTTACCACCCTTCTCCCTACTCTTATCACCCTTTTCCCTACTCTCACCACCCTTCTCCCTACTCTCATCACCCTTCTCCCTACTCTCATCACCTTTCTCCCAACTCTAATCTCCCTTCTCCCTACTCTCATCGCCCTTCTCCCTACTCTCACTATTCTCCCTACTCTCATCACCTTTCTCCCTACTCTTATCACCCTTCTCCCTAATCTCATCACCCTTCTTCCTCCTCTCATCACCCTTCTCCCTCCTCTCATCACCCTTCTCCCTACTCTCATCACCCTTCTCCCTACTCTCATCTTCCTTCTCCTTACTCTCATCACCCTTCTCCCTACTCTCATCACCTTTCTCCCTACTCTCATCACCCTTCTCCCTACTCTCATCACCCTTCTCCCTCCTCTCATCACCCTTCTCCCTACTCTCATCACCCTTCTCCTTACTCTCATCTCCTTTCTCCCTACTCTCATCACCCTTCTCCCTACTCTCATCACCCTTCTCCCTACTCTCATCACCCTTCTCCCTACTCACATCTCCCTTCTCCCTACTCTCATCACCCTTCTCCCTACTCTCCTCACCCTTCTCCTTACTCTCATCACCCTTCTCCCTCATCTCATCACCCTTCTCCCTACTCTCATCACCCTTCTCCCTACTCTCATCACCCTTCTCCCTACTCTCATCACCCTTCTCCCTACTCTCATCACCCTTCTCCCTACTCTCATCACCCTTCTCCCTACTCTCATCACCCTTCTCCCTACTCTCATCACCCTTCTCCCTCATCTCATCACCCTTCTCCCTACTCTCATCTCATCATGCGGAGATAACTACTACAACGGGAGCTAGACTACGGGCTAGGCACGGGTGCTCGTGTGATCTCTGCGTTCGTTCACTTAGTCGTTTCCTTGTGCTTGCACTACTTGCTGGTTCACGGGGGAATTAGGCAAGAGTTCCACTAGCAAAAGTTCACAACAAAGGTTGATACAACATTGGCAACACAGACTACATCAGAGCTAGCTAGGCTGCTGGTCGACCTCCAGCGCAGCATGGTCGACCGCGCTCCAGCGCAGCAGCGCTCGCATCGCTCCAGCGTTGCAGAGTAGCAGTTTGCCAACGTTGCAAGTCCACGGTGTGCCAACGCTGCAGCAAATCGGCTGCACAGCGTTGCACCCGCAAGACAACGGTGCACGTGCTTCGCATGTGCGTGCAGCTGGTTGGTGCACCGCTCCTTGTCACGTGCACACCGCAGACGTCCAGGTCGAGTCCACGCCAGCGACTGCGCCTACCAACCACGTCGACCTCGGGATACCACTTCCGAGGTCGGCCTCGCAGAAGCCTCCCCGGCGACCTTCGCACACGTCGCCCGGGTATCCAGGTTGACCGGGCAACCACGCCTGGTCGCCCAGCTCAGTTGGTTGCCGGCTACACCTGACCGGCGTCCCTAGAAGAGGTGTCCCAGCACCCAGGTCGGCGTCCAGACGCCCAGGTCGGCGTCCAGGCACCCAGGGCGCCGTCCAGACGCCCCATGTCGGCGTCCACACGCCTAGGATGCCGTCCAGGCGCCCAGGTCGGCGTCCAGCCTCCCAGGACGCCGTCCAGGCGCCCAGGTCGGCGTCCAGCCTCCCAGGACGCCGTCCAGGCGCCCAGGTCGGCGTCCTCCTGCTCGGCGCCCTCCAGCTAGGCGCCCTCACTGCAATAGATCGGCTGCGCTACACACACACCCGACTACGAAGTCGGCTCCTTCCAAGCGCGGACGGGGCCAACCACAACTCCCGTTGACACTCCCCTGCCACGTTCATGCTTGGGCCCCCAGCCCACACGGCAGTACCACTCGGAGAATAGCCCGTCGGCGTGCACACAACACACATCACGCCGATCACCGCACCAGCCATGCAAGAGGGCATGGCACCTACTACTGCACGTCGTTGTCACCGTCGCCCACGTCGGCCAGGCGCACTTGGCCGATTGCGACGGAGCACCGGTTGAAGGCCGGGTAGTGCAGCGCCTTCATCAGGAAGTCGGCCGGCTGCTCGGTGGTTGGGATGTACTTCAGCGTGAATTTCCCGCGCTTCACCATGTGCTGCAGCCGGACTTGTCGCCGTTCCATGTGCTTGAGGTTGCCCGTCAACCCCATGCCCTCGGCGACCGTGATAGCCGACTTGTTGTCCACGCGAAGGACGGTCGGCGTCCCGGCGTCCAGCTGCCGGAACTCTGCAAGGAGGAAGCGAAGGCGGCGTCCTTCCTTGCCGGCTTCAGTGGCTGCCACGTACTCCGACTCGGTCGACGACAACGTCGCGCACTTGATGCGCTGGCTCGACCAGGAGACGGCGGCCCCTCCGTAGACGAACACGTAGCCACCCGTGCTCGTCCGGTTTTGCTTGTCGCCGGCGTCGTCGGCGTCCACGTAGCCGACCAGCTTCAGCAACTCAAGTCCACCGCCGAAATCCAGGGCGGTGTCACGTGTGTTGGCGAGGTGGGCGAGGCAGCGGTCGACCTCGCGCCAGTGCTGGTTGCTCCTCACCGTGAGGCCGCTTCCCAGCTTGCTGCAGGCGAAGGCGATGTCCGGCCTCGTCGTCGTCGCCGCGAACTGCAGCGAGCCGACCTTCTGCCGGTACTCCTCCTCATGGCGCTCCTGTGCCTCCTCGTCGTCGAAGGTGAGCTCGGCGTAGGCGTCGACCGAGACCGGCGTCTTTGGAGTGCGCCCGGTCTGTTCCTCGTCGATGAACCGCCTGCGCTGCTTGTTGGCGTAGCCCTGCTGGTGCAGCCATAGCTTCCTCGCTGGCCTGTCGCGCACGATCTCCAGCCGGAGGTACTACTGCACCGGCGAGATCTCCCGCAGCTCGAAGGCGGCCTCCAGCAGATCCTTCAGCTCCTTCAGCAACGCGGGGCTGCTGCTGTCGGCAAGCAGGTCGTCGACGTAGACCAGCACCCAGCAGGCCACTCCGTCGTCGCCGACCTTGAAGTACAGAGCCTCGTCGAACGGGCTTTTTTTCACCTGGCGCCGACCAGCACGCCGTTGAGCGCCAAGTACCACAGCAGCGGCGACTGCTTCAGCCCGTACAGGCTCTTCAGCAGCTTGCACACCCGGCCGGTTCCGTCATTGAGATTGTCCGGCTGGGACATGTACAGCACCCGGTCAAGCGTGCTCTGCAGGAAGGCGTTCTTCATGTCAAGCTGCATCAGGTTGAGGTTGAGGACGGCGACGATGCTGAGGAAGATCCTCAACGTGATGTAGCTGCCCACCGGCGCGAACGTCTCATCATAGTCGGCGCCATACACCTGGGTGAAGCCCTTCACAACCAGCCTCGCCTTCTCACGCTCGACGGTGTCGTCGATGTGGTACTTCGTCGTCAACACCCACCGGTTTTTCATGATGTTCACTCCCGGCGGGCATTCGACCAGCTCCCACGTCCCCATGCCGATGAGGCTGCGGATCTCCTCCTCCATGGCGGCCTTCACCGCCGCGCCCTTCCAGCTCGCCAACGCCTCCTTCACCGTCATCGTGGAGATGTCCCAGCGGTGCTCGGGGTCGGCGTGCATGTCGGGGTCGAGCTCCGGAAACTCCTCATCCTCCTCGGCGTCGTCGTACAGCAGTTCATCATCGTTGTCCACATCGTACGCCGTGGTGAAGGCAGCGGGGACGAAGAAGTCAGGCGGCCTCCGAAGTCGGCATGTACGCCGTGGTCCCAGCTGAACCTCCTCGGCGTCCCCTCCATCGTCACCGGTGTCGCTGTCCTCAGCGTCCTGCTGCAACTCAGTCGGCGTCCCAGCCGACTTCTCCCCTGCGGTCGGCTCCCCTGCCGACTGCCCGGTCGCTGACTGCTCCTTGGTCGGCGTCGCTGCTGCCTGCTCCCCTGTCGGCTGCTGCCCTGCTGGTGTCTCCTTCGCCGGCTTCACCAGGGTCGGCTGCACCTCCTCTGCCCGCTGATCCCTTGTCGGCATCGACTTGACTCCCACGCCGACTTGCTTGGCGTCACGTCGGCCGCCGGCGATGCTCTTGTTCGGCGCCACAGGCGACGCCCCACTTCTCCCCTCATCGCCGGAGGCCGACACCGGAGTCAGCCCACGCAGGTCGGCCACTAGGAGAGGGGCAGGGGGTGCAGGGGGAGGGGAAGAAGGACGGACGACCTCGGCGTCCTCATCAGCAAACTCACCGACCTCGGCGAGCAAATGCAGCGTCGCCGCCGAGGTGTCCGTCGGCGGGGTGGTCGGCGTCCGTCCCGACGCCGGCCCGTGCTCCGACTTCCACACCTCCAACAACATGTGCTCGTAGAATACCACGTCCGACGTGGTGACCACCCGGTTGTCGATGATGTCGAGGAGCTCCCAGCCCTTGCTCTCCTCTGACACGCCGAGATGAAGACCGCACCGAGCCTTCGGCAACAGCTTCCCACCACGCTGCTGCTCGGGGACGAGGAACTGCGCCATGCAGCCCCACACGCGTGCCCAGTGACAAGTCGGGCTTCTTCCCGGTGAGCAGCTGGTACGGCGTCGTCCCCGGCGGCAACGTCGACCTCTCAAGGCAGTTGCGGACCCAGACGGCCTGCCGCAGAGCAAGGTGCCACCAGTGGTGCTGCACGCCCATGTGCAGCAGCATCGTTCGCACCGACTCCACCACAGTCCGCATCTCCCTTTCCGCCATGCCGTTCTGCTGCGGGGTGTACGGGCAGGTCAGGTCTTGGACGATCCCCTTGCCGTTCACGAAGTCGGTGAACTGGTTCCCGAGGAATTCCCCTCCCCGGTCAGAGCGCAGCATCAACACCGACTTCTTCATCTGCCGCTCAGCCACCGCCAGCCACTGCACGAACTCCTGCAACGCATCCGACTTTTTGGCGACCGGCCTCACCCACACGTAGCGGGTCTTGCGGTCCTTCAGCAGCAAGAAGTACAGGCTGTCGTCTTTAACAGCCACGCGGAATGGCCCGCACAAGTCGATGTGCACGACGGCCAGCACGTCGTCGGCGTCAAAGCCTTGGTCGGGGAAGGTGTGTCGTGTCAGCTTCCCGCCGACGCATGAGACACACGGGGAGTCGGCGCCCGACGCCGACTTGAGGTCCAGCCCAGTGGCGACCTCGTGCTTCGCCGAGCTCCGAATGGTGTCCATGCCGACGTGTGCAAGCCTCGCATGCAGCCTGTCCGGCGTCGACTTTGTTGCTGAAACGATCGCCCGCAGGGCTACCACCTCCGTGGTGGGCGTTGTCTGCTTGGCCGAGCAGGGGCGCATGTCGGTGCAGAGGACACGCCCGGTGTACGTCGCCCGACCGATCACCTCTCCCGCCGCCGAGACGAGCAACATCCCGTCGCTGTCCTCCTGTAGCTTCACACCGGTCTCCTTCAGCTGGCCGGCCGAAAGCAGGTTTGCCTGGACGCCTAGGACGTACAGCACGTCAGGGATGAGCACCCGCTTCCCGGCCTCCCCTTGCAGAGCGACAGTGCCGCGGCCCTGGACGTCCTGCAGCGCCCCGTTGAAGCCGCGCACGTGCTTCACGTTGCAGCTCGGCTCCAAGTCGACGAAGGCCTCCTTCGTCCCCATCAGGTGGTGCGAGCAACCGCTGTCGAGCAGGACCACCGCCGGGTTCGCCTGCACAGCCACCGCCACCGCCTGGAAGTCCTCGCCGGCCTCCGGCGCCAGTGAGGCGGTCAGCTCCACGACGCCGACCAGCGAGCACGACGCCGCCTTGTCGTCTCGCCCCTTGCCACCAGCAGAGGAGTCAGCGTCCTTCGCCGAGGTCGACTTGGTCGACTGCTGCTCCTTGCGCGGCTGGTTTCCTCGACGAGAACGACGGCTGGCCGACCTGCCGCGGCCTCCCTTGGCATCGCCATCGTCGGTGTCACTGCGGTCGGGGCACTCGAAGGAGAGGTTGTCGGGGCTGTGGCAGATCCAACACTCCCGACGCCGACTTCCTCCTCCTCGACTATCACTCGTAGCCGACTTCTGCTTGTCGGCGTCCTTCGCCGGCTTCCACCCGCTGCTACCACCGCCGCCAAGCTGCCCCGGTCGGCCACCTTGCCTTGCCGGGGCGACGAAGTTTGCCTGCGCCAAGAGCT